TATCCATTTTTATTGTTAATAACATTCTATTGTAAGACTGTACTTTCATTTATCTAGTCTGCTACTCAACAAAACTGAACTCTCAAATGACTTCCTGATCACTGAATAAATAGTCCCTCTTGATTCCTTCTTGGCTACAATAACATAGCTTTCATCCTCCTTCTAACCAACGCATCTCTAATTCAGAAGTTATTTCAAGAGCAGATAAAAATAGAGAGGATAAGGGAGAGGAAGTATGCGATTGGGGATGTCTTGTTTGGGACACTGGGTAGCTGACACCACTAACTGACACAGGAAACACCAAAGGGCAGGTTTGAGGGGAAGAGGATAAGTTCAGTTAGAAGTTTCAAATGTTCCATGTAGAAATATCCAATTTAAAGTATGGATCTAGAAAGGAACAGATATGTCAAGACTAGGGATAAAGCCATGAAATGAAGCCATATGACAAGGACAAGTTGTTCTCAAACTTTTGCATGTATCAAAATCAATTGATGAGTTCTACCTCAGAGCTGCTGATTCAGGCTTAAGAATTTGCATTTCTAATGAGATCCCAGGTGATATTGCTGGTCTGGGGACCACACTTCAAAAATCTCTGGATGAGACAATATTGCCCAGAAAGAAGGTTAAAAACTAAGAATAGGAGCTCAAGAGCAGGGACTTGAAGAATACAAAGAGGCAGGTAGAAAGAAGGAACCAGTGAAGGAAAATGAAAAAGAATTTTCAGAGAAGGGATGAGAATGGTAGAATTGCAAAAAGGGTATAGTAAATAGTATTAAACAACTGAATAGAATGAAGACTGAAAATAAGTCATTGGATAAAGTAATTAGGAGGTCACTGGAGAGCTTAGTAAATGCAGTTTTGTAGAGTGAGAAGGAAGAAAAAATACTATAATGAGTTGAAAAAATACAGACTACACTTGGGAAAGTTTGACTGTAGAGAGTAGGAGAGAGAACAGAAGCTTGAGAAGGCAGAGCACTATGGGAAAGGTGACTTGGGATAAAAGACTTGTGCACATTCGTAAGCTAAAGGGAAAAGATGTAAGAGAGGAAGACACGAGAGATACCAGAAAAGTTAAAATAATTGATAGAGTAAGGCTCCTGTTGGAGTTGTAATGGAATAGTGTCCAGGGCACAGGTGAACTAGTCGGTCCTGGGCAAAAGAATCAGCTCTTCTGAGATAGGGGTGAAAGAAGTTAAAAATAGACATTGTTAGAGATAAGAATAGTGGTGAAGGGAAAGGAGAGAGAAGCATGCTGGGAGAGACATGCCTAAAGCCTCTATTTCCTCTGTAAGCCTGCCCTACAACAAACCTTAAAGGAATTTCTTCAGGCAGAAGGAAAATAACACCAGATAAAAACCTGCATCTACACAAAGAAAAGAGTGTTGGAAATATAACTGTATATGAGAAAATATAAAAGATACATTTTTTCATTTTTAGTCTCTTTAAAAATAACTGAAGCAAAAAATAATAACAATATATTACAGGACTTACTACAAAGTAAAATCTATTTCAAAAAAGAGCACATAAGAAAGAGGAGTGGTAATTCAAGTATAGTGACATAAGCTTCTTATCCTATATGTAAAGTGCTTCATTATTGTTTGAAAGTAGACTGTGATAAAAAAGATATAAGCCCTAGATCAATGGTTCTCAAAGTGTGGTCTAGGGGGTCTGAGGAAGGCTAGATCTAGAAATCCCAACACCTAGCTAACAGAAGTACCAGAAAGAGAGACTCACGTATATGTTAGCATGACAAAGGCTTTAAGAAATCCTGTAGTAAACAAGTTTGTTTAACTTAATGTTTACCAAATTTGATTGACCACAGAACTCACTTTTCAAGTTATACTTATTAACATCTCACAGAACTGGTGTTACCAAGAAATACATTTTGGAAAATGCCACTAGTTCTGAAAGACATTAATACATATTAAAAGATATTCTAGTCACAATATGAACACAGATAGGTCTTACTTTAAATAATGTATGCATTCTTGTAGCTAGTAAAGCATAAATTAGTAGCTGCATATTTTGAGGAAAAAAATCATAGGCTTTAGAATAGACCCAATCTGGGCTTCAATCGTGACTGACCACTCACAAGGTAAGAGACCTTAGACAACTTGCTGATCTTATTGTGAGGATGACATAACATGTATAAAAGGGGAGTTACCTGGTACTTAGTGGTAGGTACTCACTAAATAGCAGATAATGATGAGGATAGTGATGAAGATAAACAAGGGTCCTCTAAATAGTGCATTCCCCAACACATTTTAAATGAAATTCAATTCTCAAATGTTCCATCTTCTTTCAGGAACATAGAATAAACCATTTCTATTAATGTTTTTTAAAGAGTGGAATTTATAAGTTCATGGTGTACCACCATGCCCAGCTAATTTTTGTATTTTTTGTGCAGACAGGCTTTGTTCGTGTTGCCCAGGCTGGTTTCAAACTCATGAGCTCAAGCGATTCACCTGCCTTGGCCTCCCAAAGTGCTGATAGCCAACTAACAGGTTTACTTACTGAGAGGCTAAAAATACATTACTATGAATATCACGCAATGCCACGGCACAGATGTCCAAGGAGAGCATTTCAGTGAAGCTCTAGAATTGTTTCTTATGTAAGGTAAAACAACTGAAATATGCATTAAAGTCTTATAATAAAAGGGTTATTGTAATTTAAGTTAGATTTCTTACTGAAATGTTTAATATAGCTCTAACAATCATTATGAGTAATGTTTATGCTAATGAACTCATCCATTAATATTCACAGAAGAGGATCTGAAGAGGTGGGAGGAAAGCAGTAGTTATTCCAGGCAGTGAAAATTAGATGAATCTTTGTGGGGACAATATAAAAACCTAGCTAGAATAATAATGAAAAAACTTGTACGTGTCTTTGCGAAACAATGAGTTCAACCATGTACAGAGGGCCTTGAAAGCTAGGCAGAAAAATTCAAATTTGATTTGATAGGCAGGGATAAAAAAGCCACTGTTTATCACATGGGTCTTAGGACCCATGTAATAAAAACAATGTTTAAGAATGACTAGGCTATTAGTGACACTTAATTTGCATCAAATAGAGAGTGAGTCAGGAAGGCTACTTTATTACTTGAATGATGGCTATATTGAGACATTAAGCTACAAGGGTAAGACATGCTTGTTAGATAAATAAACGAGTGAGCAAGTGAACTGTGTTAAAGGGCAAGTAGACAATGGCTTGGTCACTTTTCAGTCAAAGAGGATGAAGGACCAGGTTGAAATAGATGGTCCCACAATTTTATGTGTGGGCAATGGGGAGAATGGAGGCACGAAGAGAGAGACCTATAGGGAAAATGTGTTCATTGATATTCTAAAGGGATATAAAAATTAAAATACTCAGTAGAAATTTTAGATATGAAATTAGATTTTGAAAAACTTGCCTTTATATGTCATATATATATTTTACATATATACATACATACATTTTTTTTGAGACAAGGTTTTGCTCTGTTGCCCGGGCTGGAGTGCAGTGGCATGATCTTGGCTCACTGCAAACTCTGCCTCCCTCCCAGGCTCAGGGGATCCTCTTGCTTCAGCCTCCCACGTAGCTGGGACTACAGGCGTGTACCACCATGCCTGGCTATTTTTATATTTTTTGTGCAGACAGGGTTTGGTCATGTTGCCCAGGCTGGTCTCAAACTCATGAGCTCAAGTGATCCACTTGCCTTGGCCTCGCAAAGTGCTGGGATTACAGGGATGAGCCACCACGCCCGACTGACACATTTTGTTTTTACATAGATATGCAAAGTAAATTACACTAAATATGTCGTATATCCTGGGACATGTTTTTCCCCAAGTAGAATTACTGTTTAAATTGCATTGGTCTAGGCTATACTTAAAATCTACTTTAGAGTTCAACAGTGAGAACACATGGACACAGGGAGGAGAATATCACACAACAGGGCCTGTCAGGTCAGGGGCAAAGGGAGGGAGAGCATTAGGACAAATAACTCATGCATGCAGGGATTAAAAACTAGAGGACGGGTTAATGGGTGCAGCAAACCACCATGGCACATGTGTACCTATGTATCAAACCTGCACATTCTGCACATGTATCCCAAAACTTAAAGTAAAAAAAAAAAAAAAAAAAAAAAATATCCACTTTAATGACAGCCACCCCAGAAGCTGGTAGACTGGATTAAAATGATCTTATTAAATGTGATTCATACATAAATGTCTGTGAATTTAAATATTATAATTCCCATTTCATAGATAACAAAAAAATATATGACAGATTTTCAAAGGGATCAGCTGAGGACCAGCAGATTTTTCTCTTTAACTTTTTTTTTTAAGACAGGGTCTCACTCTGTTTCCCAAGCTAGCATGCAGTGGCTAACTGTAGCCTCTAACTCCTGGACTCAAGCAATTCTCCTGCCTCAGCCTCCTGAGGACACACCTGGGAATACAGGTGTGTGCCACCACACCTGGCTAATTTTTGAATTTTTTATAGAGATGGGGGTCTCACTATGTTGCCCTGGCCTCAAACTCCCAACCTCAAGCGACCCTCCTATTGAGGCCTCCCAAAGCACTGGGATTGCAGTCATGAGCCACTGTGCCCACCCTAGATTTTAATGAACTGAATGGACTCAAGCAATGTTTAAACCCAGCTGTCTCTAATTTATCCACAAAAATTGACAAAAGGAACAACAGAACAATATATGATAGCAGATAATCCCAATGTAAATAATAAACTAAATCTGAAATGTATTTTGCCACATTAATCTTAAGTCAGGTATCCCTGACTCTCAAACTAGTAGTTCATGATAAGATTAAGAAAGAGGACTTTTCAGAAATGTATTCCACCTACTGAGATCTGGGAATGTCATTTTCACTGGAGCAACAACTTAGGGTTGGAGGGAGAATGGCTGGATAGGAGTACAGACCTCTTGAATCTGAGCCCTAAGACTCCTAATAGTACCTAAGAGTATACAAGATTTGATATTATCAGGAAACAGTATATCTAATTCTTACCATTAATAACTGGCGTGTAAACAACAATCCCAACCAAGTTTGGGTCAGATACAGTTGTGTCCAGAATAAGGCCCCCAATACTGAAAGAGATAAAATTATACAATTTAGAGAAGAGGAAAGAGAATATACTTCAAGTTATTCTATACATACAGACACCCCTCCTTTTTAAAATAAAATACTCACACATTTTAAAAATAGAGCAAAAAGAAAAATATTCAAAGTAAAAATCAATGTCAACAGTAAAATGTTGAAAATAAAACATGGCATAAGCTCTAGCCCCAAATTTCAGAATTCTGATGTCTAAGATATGCAACTTGTGAAAAGAAAAAGCATATGCTTTAAATGCATTAAAATGTCGTGAACAGCACACAAGAAATTATTAACCATGTCTATTTCTGGGGGTAAGGGTGACAGGGGACTGACGGTCATTTTATATTCTTCTGTGCTTATTAATTTTTTAAAACCATGCCATTGATCACTCTCATAATTTAAAAAATAATTTTAAAAAGAGTATGTTTTCATATTTGAAATAAATAAGGCATAAAATAGGTTATTTTTATTGTGTTAAAACTAGATATTGTTAGGATGTGTCTTATTACCGGCAAATTAAAATAATGAGTTATTGCTACAGAAAGAGCTGATCTTGAGAACAGAAATCTGGAAAACTAACATATCGTTATATGGTAGCAAGCCGTACACTTTCAATGTGTCAGTGGAACTTGGAGACTTTTTTAAGTTTCCAAGGCCATTATCAAATAGTTAACATCAGTTTCTGAGTCTATGTAGTATAAAACATGGCCAGTCCTAATATTCCATGGGATCCTGTGCCCAAATCTTCCAGAAAAATGCCATCTGCATTACAACAAAATGAACTACATACTGTCACAGAATGGGACTGATTGTCAAAATATCAGATCAAATGTTCTTACCTGATAGTTAACATTAAAAAAGTATCAAATCTTTATTATTTTAATTCTTTAGTAAATAAATGAATTATGTCTTAATATGCCTAAACTGTAGGCGTTCTCACTAAAGAGGTACATTGCAGAGCCCCAAAATAGTCCTCTTTAGAAATATTTTAACATTTTAAGCCCTAATTAAAAGAACAAAGTACATATTTCAAGAACAAACTAGTTATGAGTCAAAAAATAAACCTCTCTGACAGAATATATAGACCCTGTTGTGGATATAACATAACAACAATTGCTAAAAATACATTTTTTTAAGATTCCTGTTAAGCCCGGTGTTTTAATATGCATGTACATATACGCTTACAGAAAAAATTAGAAAAGACAAAACGAATAAAGTAAAAACCAACCCTAGTTACATCATTGAGTTACACTGTTAGTATGCTGTTATATAGGCTTCTAGACATTTTTTACTTACATATTTTGTTACTTATTTAAATTGACAATAAAAATTGCATATATTTATCCTATACAACATGTTTTGAAATATGTATATATTGTGGAATGACTAAATTGAGCTAATTAACTTATGCATTACTTAACATACTTATTTTTTGTGGTGAGAACACCTAAAATCTCTTGGCAATTTTGATGAATACAATACACTGTTATAAACTATCATCACCATGTTGTACAATAAATCTCTTGAACATGTTCCTCTAACCAAAATTTTTAATCCACTGACCGACATCTCCACAACCCAGCGTTTTTACTATGTACATTTTTTAAAATAAAAATTAAATGATAAAAGTAGTTTTATTTGCTTTTATTAAATTTTATTTTTATCATGTAGATGTATGTCATTAAAAAAGTAAAAGTACAGCCGGCATGGTGGCTCGTGCCTGTAATCCCAGCACTCTGGGAGGCTGAAGTGAGAGGATTGCTTGAGACCAGCAGTTTAAGACCAGCCAGGTCAACACAGCGAGACCCTGTCTCTACAAAAGAGTAAAAATATTAGCTGGGTGGGTGCATGCCTGTAGTCCCAGCTGCTCAAGAAACTGAGGCAGGAGGGTTGTTTGAGCCTAGGAGTTTGAGGCTGCAGTGAACTACATTCAAGCCACTGTGCTTCAGCTGGGGAAACACGGCGAGACACAATCTCTAAAAAAAAAAAAAAAAAAAAAAAAAGAGGTATGTAAAAGTACCATAAAGTTTATAATAAAATAATAGTCCCTAGCCCCACCTCCAGGTCCTTCTCTCTACTAGAAATTATTTTTAACTTCTTTAGTAGTTTCTTCTGGCATTTAATTTTTCTAAATAACATGCTTATAATGCTATTTATTCATTTTAAATTTTAGACATTTAGCAAATGACTTCCTACTATGGCAGATGAGTATTTGACCTCTCTTATACTTCCCTCCCCACTTTGATCCCTTCCTAAATCCCTTCCTCCTCCCATCCTGCTAATCTGGTTATAATTTCTGGTGAAATACTTAGGGGTGACTTTATTATAACCACAGAAATTTCATTATTCATAGCTGAGCCACAGAGTGTATTATTAGATATCTTCACTTACACTTTTTGTTTTGCCTCCTATTTTTCTTCACTTTTTAGGTACCTATTACTAATTCAACCTCACATGTGTAACTAAGTTTATGAAGTACCTTTCAATGCAGTCAAACTCATCAATTCTACTTTTCTTTATTTGTCTTAGAGACCTCCCTCCTTAAGCCCCTGTTCTCCTGCCAATCTGGATGGTTGCCTGTCTAGGCCTGATGCACAGCTGTCATCCTGTACCTTCCCTCCAATACCCCCTTGGATCTTGGTCTATGTACTATAACAAAATTCCAGTATTTCGTGGGATCCTGTTGCCTGAATCCTCCAGGAAAAAAGCAATCTACATTACAGAAAAATGAACCACATGCTGCCACAGAATAGATTTCTTCTTTCCTGTATCATCTTTCTTGATTTATTTCCTAACTTTGATAGACCACACTTCCTTTCAGCTTTATACAAAAGGGTAGAGGGGCAGTAAATTCCATGAGATCCTGCCTGTCACGTGTAGTCTTTTCTTACACGTGATTGATACTGTGACTATATTTTATGTTCAAAATAATTTTCTCTCAGAATTTCAAAGAAATCATTTTAGTGTTGCTATGGGACATAATTCTGGTTCCCAGTGCTTTATATGTAACTTATTTTTTCTCCAGAAACATTTGAGATTCATGATGATATGCTTTGATTTGGGTCCCTCCTACTTTAATTTATTGCACTGGGTACTTAGCGGGCCCTTTCCATCATGAAGCTCGTGTTTTTCTGTTCTGGGAATTTTCTTGTATTATTTATTTGATAATTTTCTCTCCTTATCATTCACCTCCTATTGTCTATCTCTTTGCTTCATGGGTTGCTTTTCAGGAGGGTTCCTCTATTGTAACTTCAAACTTTTCTACAGAATTTGTTTGTTTCTGCTATTTATGTATTTTTTAATTCCCAAGAGCTCTTAATGTTTTTCAGATCTTCTTTTGCATTATGTTCCTATATTATGAATATTATGCAATAGCTATTATGCAATAACTTCTCTTATTTATCTGAGGATACTGATAAGAGTTTTCTGAAAGTACTGATGGTACTTTCCTTGAGTATCATTTTTTTTCCTGTCTTTTATGTTAGAGGCCTTTATGAAATGTCGAGCAATCCTTTACTGGCTGCCTCTGTTTAAGGGGCACTGCAAGGCATACTTGGAGTTCTCTGTGTACATGGGCAGAGTTTGTCAGCAAGTGGGACTCACAGAAGACAATCAGGTGGGCTTGCAGCTCTTTCATCAAAGGACTCACAGGGGTTAGTATCTGCAGGTCTGATCTTTTGTGCTGGTAAGTTTCCCCAGACAGGAATTATCTAATTTTTTGCCTGGGGGTAAAAGGCTGTCTCCCAGCATTATACAAAGAAAAGGAAGTGGGATAGGGTTCTCATTGTTCAGTGTGTAGACTTTTGCTTAGTCTTGCTATTTTTCATACAGTACTTAAGCCACATCCTCACATGTACATGTGTTTTTGAATCCAGAACCTCTCCGATTTAGCCTCTTGAGAGGTTATTCTTGTCTTCTGCTAGGGTGTGAGGGGACAGTCACATGGGTGCTAAAGCTGGAGAAAGATTTTGGGGATCTAGTTGCTCCTTACCTAAACTTTCAACCAATCTTCATTGAAGCTTTCAGATGTACTTGATGCCTTTAATTCCTCTTTCTGGGTTTCTGAGGCTTGCTTCTGATAGTCACTTAGGTTTCAGCTTTTTTCATTCTGCTCATTCAGTTAACAGCTCTTCATCTGATTCCTATCTTCCTAACGTTGTCAGATCTCTCACCTGCTGCCCTCTTTGCTCCCCTTCTATCTTGGTGGTTTTATAACATTTTTATTCTCTTACTGTCCTTTTAGTAGTTTCAGGAAGGAAAAGAAATGTTTCTTAACCTACCATGTTTAGTAGGAAACTCATACTCTTTTCTAGGTTGTTCTTTTCATCAGATGTATAATAAACATCTTTCCATAGCAATAGAAATGCTACAACGTTATTTTAATGGCTGATATTCCATTTTGTGACTATATAATAATTTATCTGATCAATACCATATTGCAAGACCTTTATGTTGTCCTATTTTTTTTTTTATTAAAAACTCTGGGGTGATGAGGATGCTTGCAGCTAAATCTTTTACATACGTCCTTAATTACATCTTTAAGGTCATCAGAGTCCCAGATATGGAAATAGCCAATGGAATATACATTTCTAAGGCTTTATGATATTCATCTGAGCAACTTAATACTCAGAGTAAGTAATGTCCTTGTCAGGTTAACACACACATACACACACAAAGACAAACACCACTAAATTTTACTCAGTCTGGTAAGGCTTTGGTTGGAGAGAAGTTTGAAACTGGTAGCCAAATAAGGTTCTTTATGTCTACTGATTTCATTAATAATGCCTGTCATTCAGATCCCTTGTTATAATACCTGGGAGAATAATGAATTGGCTATATAAAATAATTAACCTAAGAAATAAAAACAGGCAATTCATTTGTTTTAATATGCATGTACATATACGCTTACAGAAGACACACAAAGACAGAGACACATACACACACACACACATTTTAATACTAACCTACTTATAACCATAGCTGTTATGACAGGCTCCCAGCCTGAGTGGAGAACTGTTCTTGTGGCTGGATGTTTGGCAGCTATTATAATCCAAATAGGAGTTAGAGCCAAGAAAAATACACCAACTAATGGAGAAATGTAGTAATAGGTCTCTAAAATTAAAAAAAAGAAAAGAGAGAGACAACATTTAAATCTCTCTTCTGTATAGCAAATCTAAATTATCAAAGTTTACTAGAAGGTATGACACTATCAAACATACTAACATGCTATACATTTTCTATAAACTTCAAACAAATTTATAACTGTAGATAAGGCAAAAATATTAAACAATGTAACTGAAAAGTAACACATTGATTGAACAAACATTTATTAAAATAGTTACATGATCTACATAGAAATAGCATAAAAACAGTAACAACAAGAAGAACAATAACAGTAAAAGGGCTAACATTTATTGGGCTCCTACTATATACCAAGTACTATGCTAAATGCTTTACATTCATCATCTCATTTCACCGTCCCCATCCATATAAAATAGATACTGTCATTTCTATTTTATGAAGAAACCGAGGCTTAGAAACTTAAGAATTCAGTGAGGAAATAGGGAGAGCTGGAAGAAAATATGTATCTGACACCAAAGTTAATGCTCTTAACTTTAAAGGTAAATAGGATATTGTTTTTGTCCATAGGGAACTTATAGTACGGGCATTCCATAAAATATTGGCTGTCTACTGATAATAGATATCCAAGCTCCAAAATGAAATAGAAAAACTAGGTTTGATTCTCAATTCATATTTACCTGTAAATCTCCCTAGGGTTAAAAGTTGCATATCCCTTATTGAAAGTCTTATCATCTCAAGGCATTTTTTTGATAATATCATTTTAGCTGATCAAAGTTTCATTACTATCAGGGATTTCAGCTAGGATATTCCTGGTTTCTTCTCCATAACTCTAATTAATTTATTACGCAAAGTAAGTACTTTTTAACTTAACGGCAGACTTTATCTTGCAGTCCTATAGCCTACAGCCTTAGATTACTTAATCTAAGTCAAATGTTACTTAATATTTTGATCTTACAGAATGCTGCAACCCTTACCCCAACTCTTATCTTTGACTGAATTTTCTATTTCTTTTGCTTCTTAAGATATTTAAAGATCTTCTCACCTATGATTAAAGATGCTTGAACTACATACAAACCCAAAATTTTTATTTTTTCCATATCATGTAGGAATAAGCAATTATTATAGATATTAAAATAAAGCTAAACAAATTTTACTCCTAAGCTTTTGTATGGATTTGCCATCACATCTTTAAAATAATTATACTAACAAAATTAATTTTTATATTTTCTTCTATTTAAAGGAATATGACTAATGCTACATTGTGTCATTTTCTCCGTGATTTTTCAAAAGACGAAAAAAACCTTTTATTTGTTGAACGGATTCCCAGTTCTCCTTGTAAGCCAATAGATAGGGATAAATAACATTCCAGTTAAGAAGCATTTTAATCTACTAAAACAACTAAGGTTGCCAACAATCTCTTTAACAGAACTAAATAGAAAACAAAATGCATTGAAAACCACTAAACACAAATGAAAAGAACTATTCTGCTAGGTCAGATCATCTTAGTATTTTATTCTCAGGTCAAGGGAGGAGCACCCTGCTAGACTTTAAAGAAGTTATCCTCAACATTAAATCTCTGGAAGGACATCTGAGGTTGAAAAAAGCACCTACCACCCCCACCCCAGAATCCCTGCCCTGAATTTTCAAAGAGGAGAAAAAATGCCTTAGGAGAGAAACTAAAAATAATGAGCAGGCAGTTCCTTAAAAAGTTAAACAGAGTTTAACTTGACCCAACAATTCTACTCCTTCATGTACACCCAACAGAATGGAAAACATATTTACATAAAAAGTTGTACATTACATAAAAACTTGAATATTCATAGCAGCACTATGCATAATGGCCAAAAAGTAGAAGCAACCTAAACGTTCATCAAATGGTGAATAGATAAACAAAACTTGGTATATCCATAAATGGAATATATTACTTGGCTATTTCATTAATCCATACAATTGAATGTTACTCGGCACTTCATATGATTCAAAACTGATGCATGTGACAACATGATGAACCTTGAAAACATTATGCTAAGTGAAAGATGCCAGACACAAAAGGTCACATATCAAATGATTACTTTTACATACAATGCCCAGAATAGGCAAATCCAAAGAGAAAATAGATTGGTGATTGTTAGAGGAGGTGTAGAATGAGGAATAACTGCTAAAGTATTCTGTTTTGTTTACAGACAGGGTCTCACTTTGTCGCCAAGGATGGTGTGCAGTGGCATAATCTTGCATCAGTGCAGCCTCAAATCCCTAGGTTCAAGTGATCCTCCCATCTCAGCCTCCCAAAGTGCTAGGATTATAGGCATGAGCCACCACTCCAGGGCCCAGCGTTTCTGTTTCAGGTGATGAAAATGTTCTGGAATTAGATCACAGTGATCTTTGTACAACCTTATGAATATACCAAAAACCAATGATTTGTACACTCTTAAAAAGTGAATTACATGGCATGTGAACTACATCCAATTTTTAAAAATCCTCACAGAGGGGAAAACAGGAAGGAGGACTGCATTCTTCAAAAATGTCAATGTCATTAAAGACAAAGGATATACACACATACATAGACAAAGAGAGAGAACAAAAGATAAAACAAATGGGGTAAAATGTTAACCTTAGGTGAATCTAGGTAAAGAGTATGGAGGTGTGTGTTTTTCTTTTTTTGTACTGTTTTGATTTTTGCAACTATTCTATAAATACATAATTATCTTCAAATAAAAGTTTTTAAATGTTAAAAAAGTGAGAAAACCATGATAAAACCCAAATTTCCAAATGATTTACTGTAAATGTATTCTACTTCCATTATCTGCCAAATCCAACATGCCCATTCCCACCAAATTAGATCATATGGATAATTCTATAGGACACTCCCAACTTATTCCTGGCTAACTTCTAATCCAATTTTGATAGGTAGGGAAAATTACAAATATATAATAAGAGATGATACAAACATTTCTCTTTTTTGGATATACTGGTGTTTTATAGACGTCATAAAATTAAAGAATTACTTTTAGAAAACCACCAATGAAACAATCAAGAGGAAATAGTCAATTAAAAGCCAACTATGAACTTCCGCATTAATATTAAAATGTGAAATCATCTTCCTTCTAAGTGAAACACATTTAAAAGATCCTGGTTAAAATAATATTTTGTATTAAAATGTGGGTATATCATAATGGGTATTAGGGTAGGCTGAATAAAATCTACGTAATAATTCACAGGACCTGTGAAATGCTACCTTATATGGCAAAAGGGGATTTGTAGAAATGATTAAGTCAAGAATTTTGGGATGGGAAGATTATCCTGGATTATTTGTGTGACCCCTAAATATAATTGCAGGTATCCTTATAGGAGGGAGGCAGGAGCAGATTTGGCTGCAGAAGAGGAAAACGCAATGTGACCACAGAAACAGAGACTGGAGTCATACAGCTACCAGCCAAGAACACCGGCAGGCAGCCACCAGAAGATGGAAGGGGCAAGGAACAGATTCTCCCCCGGAAACCTCCAGAAGGATCCAACCCTGATGACACCTGGATTTTATTCCTATATAACTCATTTTGAATTTATACTTAATTGTAATTGTTCTGGCTTCCAGAACAGTAAAAACAAAACAAACAAAAAAAAACCCAAAAACCTTTTATATTGTTTTAAGCCACAAGGTTTGTGGTAATTTGTTACAACAGCAATAGGTAACTAATACATGCATATTTAAACCTTTTTGGAATGTTAAGCCTAATAAATGTCCATATACATTTATACTGATTCTGTGATACAGGCAAACTACAGAAAAGTACAGATTAACACAGCTAAAGGAGTTCAAATTGCTCTGATGCCACCTAACTGGCAAACATAACTAGCATCTTTTGTGACTCCCACAGTTTTCATTTTATATTGTTGATGGCATTTCCCAACTGCTATTATATCATTTCATTAATAGTTTCATCATTCTCACCCCAAATTCTTCTGAAATACGTAGCTGTTATGATTGACAATTTTTATATATCAGCTGTTTCTATGTAAACAACAAAGCAATGGGCACTGTAAGTTGTGATTTTTTTTCTAAATGCCAATTAATAATCAATCTAAATGTTCTCAGGGAACTGAAACTCTAGAAATCACTCTAACCTAAGATGGTACAGTGCTAAAAATCCCTCAAGCATAGAGACATTCAAGATAAATTTAGATTCTACTCACACCACCACATTAAGGCAGATATATTCTAGAATGGTCTGTAAATAACCAGGTGGCATCCTTGTTAGTCTCCACAGGAATGCAGTAACCTGAGGCTAATTGCTACTGCTCTTACAGCTTCAGCCAAGTCATCTGTTTAAAGTTAATCTTGAAAAATGAAAAATCAATCAACATTTTGCCTCTCAGATCTTGCTTACAAAGAGAATATCTAATAACTTTTTTCAAATCAATAAATACCATGTACACACAAGAATTATATAGCGTTATATAATATGTGAAAAGGAATTTTAAAAATCTTATTGGAACTTATGCAAACAGAAAGAAAGAGCAACAATCATGTGAACATACATATATTCCAGTTACTGGCCCAATGCTGAATCCTGTTAATAACTTTTAAAGATTACTATATGTTTAAAGATTACTATATGAATGTATAAATGCCTTTATATTGTCCCTGTAAGCCACACAAAAGTGTATCAGAATCCAGAGCTTAGATGACTCTCTGAACTTTCTATTTCCATTTGAAATAGATCTTTTCTAGCCATGTGTTGCCATTTTTATTTTTCTATAGTGGTACTAATTCCCAGATACTTTCTGCTAAGGCAAGATATCCTTCCAATGTTTCCCCAATACTATATCCTCATCAAAAAGATTTTTTGTTACAATCTATTATGTTAGTGGACAGTTACTGTGCCAAAATCATTCTGAGTAACTTCTAATCATGTTAACTGAAGTGCTTTCAAAAGCAATAAGGCATTTGGTGAAGTCCTGTTTACTAAACATCTATTTTGTACATGGCACCACAGGGTGCTACAAAGAAATAAAATAAGAACACAGTTTTG